GGCCTGATGGGCGTCCCCTACTCTGCCTCGTACACCGGCTCGAAGCACGCTTTGCACGGCTACTTTGAGTGCCTGCGAATGGAGCTGGGCTCAAAGAACATCGGCATTACCATGCTCTGCCTGGGACCGGTCTTCTCGAACGTCGCCGCCAATGCCTTCACCGGCAAGATCGAGGAGAAGTCGCCGGTGACGCATGCCGCAAACGCCCACCGCATGGACACCAGTCGGGCGGCCTACCTGATGGCCGTGGCCACGATTAACCGCCTAGACGAGGCGTGGATCACCATTCAGCCGGTGCTGACGCTGCACTACTTCAACCAGTACCTCCCGGCAGTGGCGAGAAAGCTGATGCCGCGTTTCATGACTGTCGAGCGGATGAACCGGATCAGAGAGGGAAAATGAGTGAAGTGAGAAGGATGATGATGATGGCAATCGAGTTGATTATCTACTGATATGGCCAGTCGGTTCAATAAAAACTCGGTTCACTCAGTATTTAGGCGGAATATTCTTCAACTTCATTAGTTTAGACCCTAGTAGCAGCCGACTGCTGTTTTCGACTGCCTGTTGTTGCTTATCAAAGTTCATCATCGGAGAGCAAAGACCGCCTCTGGCGATGGTGATATTTTCCTTCTGCAGATTATCTTCTCAGCATCATCAGTGGCAGTTAGCGACCAGTCCTCTTTCTTTGCAGATCTGCGTGCAAAACGGACAGACAACAGTGGTCGGCGTACATTTCATGCTGCGGCATCTGCTGAAAAGTATCTTCTGTTTGCCAGGTGATCACCGACTGACTTCTCTGCTCTTTCAAACTGGCCCAGAGAACATTATGGACAATCTCTGCTTCTGGTGGATAAAAAGTGACTGTGTGACAGACAGAAAGCGGCACTTTACTTTATCCACTTTTGCACATCAAAACTGTTTATTTTTTACAATACTTCAAAATGATCTTCTTCATTACTTTGTCCCTTTTTCTGATCACCACCCTTGCCTTCTTTTACGTGCTCTACTGGTTTTCAACTTTGGACTGCGACCTTGAGCTAAAGTTTGCCGAACTGTATGGCCAGAAGATTGGTAAGTGCTAATTCTTTTAAAAATCATCACTAGAGTTCTAACCATTCACTTGTTGTCACAGAAAACCTACGCAACAAGGTAATTTGGATCACCGGCGCCTCCTCAGGCATAGGCGAGCACCTGGCGTACGTCCTCGCGTCAACGGGCGCCAAGCTGGCTCTTTCGGGCACCAGTCAGGAGCGACTGGAAAAGGTGGCCAAGAAGTGTAGAGGTAAGTCACAACCATACCCAAAATCAAACTTACTGAATGCTTTTTTAGAATTGAGCAAGTCCCAAGACAACGTTCTGGTGCTGCCCTTCGACATGACCAACTACGGCGTGCACCAGGCGATGCTGGAACGGGTGCTAGAGCACTTTGGCCGGGTAAAAGTTCCAATTTTTCTAAAACAAGTTCCTTCTAACCTTAAACCACCCTTTCCAGTTGGACATCACCGTGAACNGCTAGAGCACTTTGGCCGGGTAAAAGTTCCAATTTTTCTAAAACAAGTTCCTTCTAACCTTAAACCACCCTTTCCAGTTGGACATCACCGTGAACAACGCCGGCAGGAGTCAGCGGGCACTTTTCGAGCAGATCGACGTCACCGTCGACCGAGCGCTCTTTGAGGTGAACGTCTTCAGTCTGGTCAACCTCAGTCGGGTCGTCCTGCGGTACTACCTCAGCTCAAATCCGTCCGGCCAACTGGCCGTCACCTCCAGTTCGGCGGGCGTCCTCGGCCTGCCCGTCTCCGCCTCTTATACCGCCTCAAAGCACGCCCTGCACGGCTACTTTGAGTGCCTGAGAAATGAACTGGGTTCAAAGAACCAGATCAGCATTACCATCTTCTGTCCGGGACCGACCTTTT